GCGTCGTCGGGAAGCCGGCCATGGCTCTGGGGCTGGAGCTGGTCTCCGTTGGGATTGCTTGGGAGAGGAGAGCCCGGTTGCTTTGAAGTTGCTGCGGCGTTTAATATTAAAAGTCAGCGGTATTTGCTTGCGTGTCTTGGCCAGGTCAGCGTTGTCATGGGGTGTGTTTGCACAGTGAGAGCTTGTTTGGGAGAAAGCAAGAGAGGCCAAAACCAACCCCACACTGGCACGTCTTGCCTGTAATCAGGTTTTGGTTCTGGTTTGCTGCGTTCCACGACATCCTTTCCCGAGAACTGGGAATTCGTCGGCCCGGGGATCCTTATCCCAGTGGTGGAAACGCCCTGGGTCACCTCGCGGGCACGGGGCTGAGCACAGCCGGGCTGCAAATGCTATTAAAATATAAATAAATAATCCCAGGCCAGCTGTGACGGTCGCACCCAGGGAAACGCGGCGTGGCAGGAATACCGAGCTCAGCAATGAGCCGTGACGTGATTTTAGGCTTGGAGACACTTTATGAAAAGTGATTTAAAGGATTGCAGCGGTTTGATTTCACAGATGAGGCAGGCGAGGGGGGATGTTGCCAAGGGGCACAAGGCAGTGGAAGCAGGCTTGGGCATTTTGCTTCTCCCATCGTGTAAAACCCAAGGGAGTAGCCGACAAAATGGGGAAAAAAGATGTGTTTCAAGTGAACAAACAGAAAAGTGCTTTGCCCGTGTGGGCACCATCTCCCAGCAGCGTGTCCCAGGAGTTACTGCTGAGTTTGGGGCCAGTGGAGAAGATCCAGGACCGGTCGAGTGAGGATGTTTGTTGGCTGGTTTCGCTCCTGGGTGCCAGCTTTGGGCAGGGCTGGGAACCCATGGGTCTGATCCAGACCGAGCTCTGGGTGATGCAGTGAGCAGGCTCTTCCGCAGGGGAGGTTGGTCCCTGTCTTTGTTGGGGTGTCCTCCTCCTCCTCCTCCTCCTCCTCCTCCTCCTCACTGAGAGGCATCGGATCCCAACAGCTGCCAGGGAGGCAGGACGTGAAAATGGGGATATTTTATAATGACCCTAGATTTAATTCTGTCTTACTAAAAAATTACTTGTGAAAGAACTTTGACAAGCGTGCATGACTTTAAAGGGAAGAAGGAAGCTTGGTGAAGAGGTTCTGGTGGGTTTGACTTTCTTTAGGTAAAACTAAAATCACTCATAATCAGCAGCTTCTTTTTGAGAGCGTTGCATGGTTCTTGGCCAAACTGCAGGGGAAACATTTTTGTTTTCCGTATTCGTTAGCTGTGATGTTGGGGTTCTTAGCTGACTTCTGTCATCTTCAGCTTGGGGACAGAAGAATAGTTTGAATGCTCTGTGACCTTTAGCTAAAGGTGAAAAAACACATTACTTATGCTCTTAACCTTCTAATGTGTCCGAAGTTCATGCGCTCGCAAAGGAAACTTTTGCACGAAGGACACGCGTTTTCAGGCAACATGCAGGTATTTTCTGTAAACAGATCGATGTCCTTGCACGATGCTCGTCCCCCTTTCCTGTTAAAGCCCCTCCGTGATCGATATTCCCTGGGGACAGAAGGGTTCCCTGCTCTCCCTCGCCTGCGGACCCGGTTTCTTGCTGTGCCCTCCTTACAGAATCCCAGCATGGCAGGGGTTGGAAGGGACCCCTGTGGGTCACCCAGTCCA